TACAAGATAAAACAGAAATCCAACGGTGAAATTGAAAGATACAAAGCGAGATTGGTGGCAAGAGATTCTAAAAGAAGGAAATGGGACTCTTGTGGAAAGGGGTAAGAAGGTTGGTCAACTATTTGCACTAACTATGTTGCACTTCTCTTTCACCAAGATGGGTTCTCTCAAACCTATGGTGAAGATTATGATGAGACATTCAGTCCTGTAGCAAAAATTTCTAGCATTCGTGTCATCATCTCCATTGCAGCATCAAAAGGATGGAAACTCCACCAAATGGACGTGAAAAATGCATTCCTACATGGAGAGATTGATAAAGAAGTATACATGGAGCAAGTTGAAGGATTTGAAGATGCAGAAAAGCCAAGCTACGTATGCAAACTCAAGAGGGCGTTGTATGGACTAAAACAAGCTCCTAGAGCTTGGTTTAGTAAGGTCAGAGAATTTTTCTATTCACATCAGTTTGCTTCCACCCCTTCTGATTCGTGCATCTTTGTTAAAATCTCCCCTAAATCAACAACTATATGTGCAATATATGTTGATGATCTAATAATCATGGGAAGTAACTCTGATGATGTTGATAGTTTGAAGAAATCCTTGTTCCAACAATTTGACATGATAGATTTGGGAAAACTTCAGTTCTTTCTAGGAATTGAAGTTTTAAGGACAAATGAAGGCATACTAATTGTTCAGAAGAAGCTTGCTTTAGATCTTCTTGCGAAATTTGGTTTTCTAAATGCAAAATCAATCACAACTCCATTAGAAGTCAACCACAAATTGTCATCAGAAGGAGCGCACATTGATGATCCGCAACTATATCGAGAGATTGTTGGTAGTCTTATTTATTTAACAATCACTCGTCCTGATTTGGCTTATTCAGTAGGCATTGTAAGTCAATTCATGCAAAGTCCAAGGAAGCCACATCTAGATGCAGTCAAGCGGATTCTGAAATATTTGAAAGGAACAATTGATGAAGGAGTTTTTTACAATCAAGGTATACCAATCAAGCTATCAGGATACTGTGATGCAGATTGGGCAGGAGACCCATCTACTCGTAGATCAATTTCTGGATTTTGTTTTAATCTTGGCTCTGGAAGTGTCTCATAGGCAAGCAAGAAACAACCAACTGTTGCACTGTCTTCAACCAAAACGGAATATAGGGCTGCTATGTTAGCTACTTGCGCGAGTATTTGGTTGACTCACCTAATTAAAGATTTGGGAGAAAAGGTTGATTACAAAGTTCCCATCAAAAGTGACAGCATTAGTTTTATAATGTTAGCATCTAATCCAACATTTCACGCTCGTACGAAACACATTGAAGTTAACTATCACTTCATTCGCGATAAAGATTATTGGCAAAGAGATTGATTTGCTCTACATTTCAACAAAGGATGAAGTTGTTGACATTTTCACCAAAGCTTTATGTTCAGATTAGTTCAACGGATTCAAGGAAAGCTTAGGGATGAAGAATGTTGAGGAACTAAGCAATGAGAGGGGGTGTTGAGATAACATTGCTTGAACTTAGGAAGTTGAATAAATCAATTAGTTTCCAGAATAACTAAGTCTGTTGAGATCCTTTAGGAGTACTAATCTGTCAACTTTTTTATCTTCTGTTGAGTCCTTATAGGAAAACTGGTAAAATGTAATCCTATAAATTGGTGTTCATTCATTTTAGTAATACATAACAAAAAGCAATTTTCTGTATTCTCTTCTTCTCTATTTTATCTCTTTCGAATTTGTTACAATAACTACAAGCCTTGAGAGCCTCCTTTGTTGTATTGTATTGTATTTGTGTAATTAATTACGGGCATCTCTTGCCAGACACTTTATTATCCAAAAATGCCAGTAGGGATATGTTTGATTCTTGGATTCACTGTTTTCAAAATAATTATAATAGAGTTTCAAGTGTAAGTCAAATTTTGTAATTTAAAAAAAAAAAAATTAAACATTTATAAATAACCTTAATTTTACATAAAAAAAAAAAATACAAATATATATTTTAAAGAATTTTAGGGATAAGTTGGTAAAGCTAAAAATAAATCTTTGTGTATATACGTAATCATAGTGATCAGTTACAATCAACTAACCATTTTGACAGCAAGAAGTGACAATAATGGGTAAAAAAACTAAAAATGGTGGTTTATCAAAGAGTAAACAACTTTTTCCACCCAAGGTTTGCCTTAATGACACTTTCCCACCCAAAGTTAATATTTTGTTACTACCTAAAGCCGATTTTAGCTAATTCTGGTGGCGAAAATTCTCTCTGTCACCACCATTTGAACCTTCGGTCTCCTTTTTGCAAAACCCCTCTCACTCTAATTCTTAATTGATTTCCGACTGATTCCAGCAGCAAATATTCAATCGATCACCACCATTCGATCCACTGGCCTCCACTCTAGAAAACCCTATTACCCTGGCTCCAAGTAACTCGACGAACGCCGGTTGAGAAAGTGAAGTGTATTTTGGGTATTAACAGGATATAAACTTTAGGTGAAAAAGTGGTATTTTAAAACTTTTTGGATGAGAAAGTATCATTAAAGAACACCTTGTGTGGGAATAAGTTGTTTACACTTTTTCAAACTGGGTAATGATTTAGAAAGTTCTTCAGAGGATCTAAATGTCATCAACCATTTGTCTGTACATTCTCTAGCTTTAACAAAATGCAATATCAAAATTAACACACATTATATTCAATTTAACAACATGCAATATCACAATTAACACACATTATATTCAATTTAACAACATGCAATATCACAATTAACAAATATTCGTTGCTATATATGTATATGCACATATGTACAATATCATGCCGGCTCGGGGTGGCCATATCCACGCCAAGTTTCAGAGTAACTCCTTAATTAATATGGTATTCCGAGTTTTGTTTTTAATATTATATTACATTACATTAAATAAAATTTTTATATCTGGCACCTTTACATTTATGTTAGCATATGACAGGAAATTTTAAATTCCTGGAATGTGCACATATTATGGAAATATTTTATTCATTAAAAGTATCACCAAAACATATGATGTTACTTTCATAATTAACTACTCAGTTTTAAAAGCAAGAAGTCGATCGGCCTAAGATCATAAATGAGACGCGAGCTACTCGAGCTCAGCTCATCGTAAGCTCGAGTTCGACTCGAAACCAGTCGAGTCGAGCTTGAGCCCAAGCAACTCGTGAATAGTAATGAGCCGAGTTTGATCCGAGCTGAGCTCGGCTCGTCGAGCTTGCGAGCTTAATCGAGCTTTGGGGGTCAATTTGTAAGATTTTAAAAGTTTTATTTTTAAGTTGTTAAAATTACAGACAACACCCATGACCCATTCACAGACAAAAACGATAAATCCATTTCAAAGCTCAAACAAAAACTCAAAACCCATTTGGGATTTTTTCTTTCGGCTTCAAAAATCCAACTTCATTAATCTTCTCTTTCACCTTCATTCATCCTCGGTTCCATTTGAGCTTAGAATGCGAAAGAAAAATAATGAAGGAGAAAATCTGAAGGAGCAGAAGAAGAAAGAGAAGAGGAGGTGAGAATAGAGAAGAGAATATGGAAGAAGTAAAGAAGAAAGAGAAGAGGATGAGAAGAAAGAAAAAAAAAAAGACGAAGGAGAAGGAGCAGATCTGAAGAAGTAAAAACAAGAGAAGAGAATAAGGGAGAAAGAGGATGACGGGGAGAAAGAGAGAAAAAAAAAAGATGAGGTGACAAGAGGTGATAGGTGAAAAGAAGAAAGAGAAAATACAATAATTTAGTACTGAGCTCGATTAGGCTCGAGCTCGTTTGAGCTCGTTTAAGCGAGCTCGAGTGCAACTTTATACTTGCGAGCTCGAGCTCGCAACTGTTCATCACGAGTCGAGCTCAAGTATCGAGATACTCGACTCGGCTCGGCTCGTATACATCCCTAATCATAATATCCAAGTGTTGTATCGGTAGTGATAGTCTTTTGGGCAATGTTTTAATACTCGACCCGAGGTGTCACCCGACAACGTGAAATACAGTCCGCAAGAGAAGATTGATTTTATATATAACTCTCAACATCTTTGTGAAATACACTCCGCAAGAGAAGACTGATCTTATATATTAATTCTTAACTGTAATCGGATAAGGCACACTAATTCTATTAGAATTCCACTTGTTTTCCTAATTCAAGACTTATTTCTAATTATACGGAAAAGTAATCTAAACCCCCAAACAATAATTCCGGAAATAGGTCACGACCACATCCTAGGTCAGGTTATATAAATCCGGTAACCATTTAAACACCTTTTTGCCCCTAATAAAAAAAATTATAAATACAATAAAATATAATAAATTAAAAGAACCCCATTCTTTGTTTTCCCTACATCTTATTTTTTAAATTGAGTATTTTAATTTTTTTTTACTTATTTTAGGAGAGATTTAGTTGTTCAATTTCAATCATCAATGTATTCATACCGCAATTACCTCTTTAGCCTTAACCTTTTTGACTTGCCGGAAAAGTCATGTCTTTCCATAGGGTTAAAATTCACTATAGTTGGAGGGTTTTAGAGTAATTTTACTCTTATATATATTCCTATTTCTGATGGGAGAAGGCTATTAGAATGCCGCAATATAAATAGTTCTATTTCAACTCCACCTAAAGTCGTTCCAAGTCATTTATTAATAGTCATACTCGAATTTTTATTTAATGATTTTGGATTTGGATTTGGACCGAATTGTTTAATTTGAACTTTGAATTAAGTTAACATATTTCAAAAATATTGAAGAAATATATTTATATTTGGAATTATTAATTTGAATATCTGTAACTTTGTAGTGTGCGTTTTCCACAAAATTTTGCCTTTCATTTTATCGATAAAACAGTCCTATTTTGTTTGTGGCTATTGATGAGAGGAAATTTCATTTTGCATATTTGTTACTTGTTTTGTAAGAAAACAATAACTAAATTACCTGATCCACATTTGAAAACAAATCAATGCTACAAATTACACCCAACATTTGATCTTGCAGCAAGTTTCTGCGTTGTGATTTTTTTCTGGTTCCAGGAAAGAAATGCAAAATGTTCATTACTGACCCCTTATATATCTTACATACCCAATTTTGCATTACTTCTGCTCATCTACTTCAATTCTTTGAATACTTCTGATATTCATTTGCTTTTCTCATCGATCTGTTTCACAAGTGCAAAACTCTTGGAGACACTTTTGCTGACACCACGGGCTGCCGCTGCCGCTGCCGCCTTTTTGTTACAGCTCATAATTCTGAAACTCTGCCTCAGAATATCAATTTCCCGTTCCCTTTTGTGTACTTCACGTTCGGCTGAAGCTAATTGAGCTTTTAGAGCTTCCGTGTTCTCTTGCTTCTCTTTCAGCTCCCTCCTTAGCTCTTTGATCATGTCTTCTTCCTCTGCTCTCCAATATAGCCCATCTCCTACAAAACCAATTGCAGCCAGCCCATGTTACTCATACAATTAATCATGGTTTTGCACGTTTTAAGAAGATGTGAAGAAAAGAAATGTAATAAAAAAGGAAAAGTGAATTTATGTTTGTCTCAAACTCGACGCCAAAACACCAACTTGGCGTAGCAATTAATTCCTCCAACGAATCTACCTGCGTCGAAATAACATTACCCTGACACCGCCGAACGTCAGATATTGAATTCATACGTAGACGACGCCCGGGTCATGGTGTCGGGGTGTTTTTCCGGATATGATTATGCGACAATAAAGAGAAAAACATAGAGAAGAGAGAAGAAATTAAGCACCATGTGTTCGTTGAACGAGATCATCAAGCTCAGTTTTGATAGTGAGATATAGTTGTTTCCATTTCTCCACAGCTTCATCTCTTCTTGCTCTTTCCTCTCTCATTTGCTCAAGGAAGAAGCTTGTCCCCAACAATTCCCATTCTTTTTCACTGCTATTCTTCTCTTTCTCTCCCACCACCACCACCACTCCATCTTCTTCCATTACTCTAATCTTCTCTTCTTTTTCTTCCAAACACTTCTTCAACCTCTTCACCTCCTCTCTCAGTCTCTTCCTCTCTTGCTTCCACTCACCTTCTTTCAATGCAAACAACATTACCTCTCTCTCGTAAGCTCTACTCTCTTTCTCCCTCTCGTTCATCATCTCTTTGATTTCTTCCCTCAAATGCCTTATCTTCTCTGTCAAACGCCCCACATAGTGATCTTGTTCACGTAAATACTCGCTCTTTTTCTTGCTTGGAAAACTACCCATGTGATGAATGATGGAATGATTAGGCTCCCTTATTTGGTTCTTCTTTTTTGGTTTGATAGAGAAAGAGGAAGAGAGAGATGATAAATGGTGGGACTTAAACAGGTAAGTGTGTGAATGACGTAAATTCTTTGCAGTTGCGGTTTCAGAAGCTCCATCTCATCTATGAAGAGCCGCCCATTTATTAGTACAATGTGAGTAATCATCTAGGCCATATCTATTGGGACCTTAATTATTGATGGAACCATTTTACATTCCCGTGAAGAGCTCTACCCTATTCATGATTTTACATAAAGATTAACATAGTAAATACGTGGTTTATTAGACATCACTTATAAAACCCAATAACCAAATATTTTTGTCGGTAATTACTCATATTTTTCTGCTGAGTAAAGGAGACATTGTTTTGTTAATTCCAATTGAAGGGTCGGTCTATTTCTGACATCATATCGATAACTAGTGCATTGTCCATAGTAAACTCCCTACTCCATACCAAAGGTCACAATGGATATTGTCACTAGCATCAATATCATCAACTCGGTATCTCAACTTTGTATCTTCAATTATTATATAAGTTAAGATCTCGATTTTATATTTTAACCTTCATCATTATTTAATTAAAAAGATGTTATCAAATAATTGTGGTATAAGTTAGTTATACAAAATCTAAATTTTTGTATTGCTAGTATTTTTTTAAAAGGTCAAAAATCGGAAGGATTGAACTAAGTCGACGTTGTTTCCGGATGAGTACTAACATTGAAGGGACGGTGGAGATGTAAAAATGAAAGTATAAGATGGGAGACGTGTGGTGATGAAGTGAGATTCAGGGAAGTATTGGAAGATGGATCCACATTCCACAATCTAATAATAGCAAACATGAAGACATAGTTAAATGGTCCTACGTTCTGTGCAGCATATTAAAATGGGGCTATAACAGAGCATATTTTCAATTTTTGATGTTGCAGATAGGCATCAGAAAGGGAAGAACTCAATTGACAGTTGGATTTTGTTTGGTAGGATTCAGTCACGTTAAACTCAAGGCTCTTTCCCGGTCCGTATTAGATATTGTCTTATCACACTTTTTCTTTTTCACAATTATTTTGCTTACTTTTTCATTTTAAATAATTCGATTCAAAGATGTGGGGCAGTGTATCAATTACAATGATTATTAGTTAAAAAAAAAAACGTTAATAATAGTATCATCACACATGTTAAAATTGGCACTAGTCAATTACTTATTAAATCCACATAGGATTCGTTTAACAACCAAGAATGTATACGCTTTTTATTAATTTTCTAGATTCAAACCATCTTAGGATCAGTTATCATAATTTATGACTTATCTTGAAGTATTAGGTTTATAAGATGTTCAATAGATCTAAAAAATTAGACCTTATGAATTAATTGAGATGTGTGCAAACTGATTCGGATATTCCGATAAAAAATAAAAATTAAAAAAAAAACTACTTATCAATAACTTCAACCATTTTTTAATTAAATTAATTAATAATGAATAATACTATGCTGACAAACCATTTTTATTAACTTTCTCTCACAAAAGCAACCTGATAACTCGCAATGGGTCTTGTTTGACCAATTCCAAACTATCACGTTAAATTTATGAGAGAAAGTTAATGAGAAAAGTTTGTCAGTCTATCTTTATGAATTAATAATTCATTGTTACATAAGTAAAATAGAGGAGGATTTTATTGAATTGATTAGTACATGTGATTTATGACTTCTACGTAGTGGGGTAGGACTTGTAAATGTAACTTCATTAAAATTTATATTATATGCCAAAAACATCAATTCACATGGACCAACATGTGCTCTTGTCGGTCCACTCCAATTTACATTGGGAAATTAACAAAGCTCAGAAGATAAATATGTTACTCTCAAAATTACCAAACCCTTTCCACTTTATCCTCAATTATTAACTTTAATTTTGGGGTTTAATTAAATTCACATGATATATGTGCATAAATCTTTGACGCCCATACGCTTAATTAAACATAAATGTACACATATCAATACATTTTGTACTGTTCTACCTAAACGCAACCCATCAAAATGAATTTGCCCATTTCGATGTGGCCTCTAACAAATTTTTTTTATGGCCAAAACAATTAATCAACAAATTGCATATAAGAACAAAATTCATTTATGAATTCGATTTTGGATTCCCTGGCAGAAAAGGACTTGTATTAATAACACCTATAAGAAGAACGTGCTACACAACACCAGAATGACTTACATTTTTGCAGCACAAGATAGGCTCATTTAATTTTGCTATTGCTTTATCTGTGTTCAATATTGGGTAAAGATTGAGCTTTAAATGGTTGGTATCAATTGCTTTCTCTAGTTTTATGAAACTTCACCATGGTGGGTTTAGTTTTCTGTTTTTAGAGAATGTTTTCTTGTTTTCAAAGTTTAGAAATTATAGAAAACACCTTCTACTTATTCTTTTAAATGCATATTTTGTTACTATGGGTTTGTCTATTTCATTTATTTTATGAATTCCTTTTCTTTTTTCTTTTATATCTAAAACTTAACAAACATTTTGGTCGGCCCGTCGTTGCGGCGAGGAAGCTTCTGTCACCACGGCGAAACTGTCCAGCAGCTTCCCGTGGCTTCAACACCTCTTCGCCCCGGCGAAGCCTGGAACACTGAACTTCTTCTATTTCAACCAATTTCAAGGCAAGTATTCAACACACCACTCAATCAAAGGTCAACCAAACAATAATACTAATAAACCAACTCAAATAAAAGCAAAAGAAGAAACGTTAGCTACGTACCTCAAGTGGGGCATTACACCCAAATGTCGTTTCGATTTCGAGAAATCCAAACGCCGATTCACGTGCTATAAAAACCCCAAATCGTTCTAAGGCAATGTCACCAAAGCCTTTTTCACAAAGAACAAAAGACTTTCGTAGGCCAGGAACCTTTGTCTTCCAAACCTGCATTTTTTCAGCATTTGAAGCAGAAACAGTCGTCATACTCCGTGAGGTAAGAGCTTTCCTACCATTATTTCATTTCTTCCATGAGTTAATGGCATCGGTCTTCTGGTAACTCATCGGAGACTAGACGTTTGCGCCGGGTTCGAGCCATGAACGACAGCTAAATCATGCTGCTAGGGTTTTCTTTAGGATTTAGGGAGTTTATTTTCTCCCACGTCATCATACGAAATAGCGTACGGAGACCAAATAACCCTTCTGCTTGTCGCTTTTGCAGACTGGCAACATGGACCCCTCAGCCACCAGATCCGAGCAGGGAACTAGCTCGTCCCCGCAGGGTGCTTCTAGCATCCCTCTCAAGGTTTTTTTGATACTTATCGAGGAAGAACTCGAGAGGGTAGTAAGCCAATACGGCATCGAGGTGGACGTTTTCCACGACCTGACGCATTCGTCGCGATACCCAACAAGCGGCCTGGCTGCGATCTCCGAGGAGATTATCAGGGGTGGAGGACTTATCCCCCTGCACCCTTTCATCAGGTCATTTTTGGACCACTTTGGGGTTGCGCCGATGTAGCTAACTCCGAACGCGTACGTCATTGCAGTTGCAATGTACATCGCGTGTCAGGAAAACGAACTGGGCGAGCTGACTGCCTTGGAGCTTGGCTGCTCATATTTTCTAAAAAAGATCAAGGACAAGGATTCGTATTACTTGTCCAGGTGACCAACTATTGCCGACAGGATACACAGTTGTCCCAGCAACGTGGGGGCCTATGAAACAAAATTTTTCTTCTTTCGTTACGATGGCCATTACCGCTTCCAAGAACCGAGTAGGCCTCTTTCTCTTTGCTTGTATTTCTGCTTTGGCTTGGCGAACTCATTGCGTTTGAAGCGTGTTTGCACTAACGACCTGGTTTTTTTTTTCTTTTTGATAGTTAACAGGACGACCGAATTGGGGCTGCTCCATGGTAAGAGAAGAATCGTGCACTTCGGCTCCCTTCCTGAGGACAAGCGCGACGCGAAAAAACTTGTGACGACTGCGAACTTGTGGAAGTACGGTTTCTCTAACGAAAGCACGTCGTTAGAGCCTCCACCACCGGGTAAGTTCTGCTAACTAATTCTTGTCCTGGTCGTGGAATAGAATGCTTTCATTAATTTTGCCTTGCACGCAGTAACCATGCCACCGAAGGAGCTAAAGCAGCCTCGACAAAGGCCTATCAATTTTCCTTGGTCAAGGAAAGCTAAGGTGGCCAAAGCTACTCAAACAATCTCCCCGACTGAGGGTACGACTGTAACAACTACTGTAAGCTAATACAATGCATGCATAATAACAATAGAAAATTGGGCCCAAAAACTTTCTTTTCATTATAAGTCATATGTCTTTTATACACAAAGAGTATTGTTTACAAAAAATCATTTTAAAAGACAAAACAGGGGAAACAGTGTAGCTATTGCTTCTCGCTTGCCGACGCCCCTCTGACTGCATCAACACCTAGATCCTGCATCCACAAAGGAAAAATAACGGGGTGAGCACAAAATAATGCTCAGTAAGTAAAACCCTCTATCTGTCTGTCCCCATATGTATTACTCTTAATTCTTTCCTTACACTGTTTCTGTTTCTATTTTTGTTTCTATTAAACGTCATGGCCTCATCTTACTGGAGGCACGACCAGATGGCGTTCACACAGCACCATCTCACTCTCCATGACTATCGGGTGGAATTCACACAGTACCAACCCGTTCTTAGTGACTACCGAGTGGGGATCACGAAGCACCTACTCAGTTTTTCGTAACTATCGGGTGGAGA